CTCCGCGGCCTGTAAGCACTGGTGATGCCCTGGGTGTTTGCTGCTAGCCGTGTCGGGGGCAGAGAGCGTGGGCCGGACGCATGGCCCCTCCGGGACGGAGAGCCCATGGTGCCCGGCTGCGCCCCCCAGTCTTTAGGAAAATTTGCTCGCATCCCACTATGATTCCTTTGCCACAATTAAGATGTGACTACTGTGACAGTTTCGAAATTCCACGTGCAGATACGCTTCCCTGTCTCCCTGCTTCCCTCCCTCAGCTCGTGCCTGCAGTGTCACTGGTCACCTGGGCTCCGCGGTCAGTGCTGGAGGCTTAGGGAGGAAGAGAAACAGAGTGAGGGACTCGTGGGACTCAGCTCTCCTCTCTCTCCCGTACTTCCACCCCGTCCTGGTCTTCCACAGCCGCTCTCCCGCCCTCTCTGAACTCTGATTGAAGGTCTGGCTTCCACGGTTGACTTTCTTGGGACTTTGTCAGCTCTCCGAGCAGCGCTGGCATTTCCCCTTCAGACGCCACCCCCTACCCCGTCTTGCTTGTCCCCAGTCATTGTTCCTCTTCTCAGAGTTTTGGTAAAATTGGAAGACGATCAAAGAAGACATTTTAAAGGATTCAGAGAATATCAAGAATTTATCAGCCAGTACTTGCCAAAACACTACTGCTAACTTTGTTCTTAGCAAGTATAAAATCAGTTTAAAAATTCAAAGAAACTTTGGTAGAATTGGAAAAAGATGCTTTCTGAAGACTAGCTTGTAAGTAGTTAATGAAAAATATTTTTATAAAATCCAGATTTTTTTCTGTATATATTGCCTTATCTTGCTCATGGAGTCAGATAGCTTTGAATCTATGTCTGGGAATGATTTAATCTAAAGATTCAGCTTTTATTTTTGTCTTGACATGATGGCTAAGAGAAAAAGCAAGATACTTGTGAATTTCCAATGAAATGTTTTTGGTTCAGAATTTAGTTTTGCCTTAAATGGCCACCAGTGCTTCTTTCCTTAGTGTTTGAGAGGTGACTTCATATTGAGATTCAGTTAAAAATAAAAGTTAATTTGTAATTGTAAATTAATTTAAAATAAAAGTTAATTTGTAATTGTAAATTAATTTAACTCTAAGTTGAATTAAAGATTCGTGATTTCTGTGTGGCACACTTCTGTCTTGGTATTTTGTGTCCAGGGAGGAGTTCCTAAAACTGTCATAGCACATCTTATTCTCGTCTTGCTCGCTGTCTTCTGTGCTTTAACGTTTTTCCCATCATAGAGACGTTGATTACTGGGAGGTTAGTTCTACATGTGTCTCCAAGTTGGCGATTTTTTCATTTTAATCGCTCATACCAGAATTGTCCTTTGTCA